CTGGCAGGTTATTTTTATTTCTCCACTGTTTGTTTCTGAACTAGTGATCAAGAAGAGGAGAGCTGGCCAAACCTCCAGAAGGTGCCTGTCCTACACTTCCCCTAAGGAAGCCAGGAGGCTATACAACCTGGGTTCCAGGTTGCTTCTTGTTTCTGATGTGGCTCCTGGTGTTAAGTCCAGGGCTTGAATCTCAGGAGGAGGCAGAAGACAGAGAAATATAATTAATGTGGAGGTAGGATTTGTGCTTTGAAGTTCCAATTTGTGAGGTGTTTTTTTTTTTTTTTTAATTTTTGTTTTATTTGACAGAGTTAGTGTGAAAGAGACAGAAAGGTCTTCCTTCTGTTGGTTCACTCCCCAAATGGCTGCTACAGCCAGAGCTGCGCCAATCCAAAGCCAGGATCCAGGTGCTTCCTCCTGGTCTCCCATGAAGGTGCAGGGTCCAAGCACTTGGGTCATCTTCCACTGCCTTCCAGGGCCACAGCAGAGAGCTGGCCTGGAAGAGGAGCAACCGGGAGAGAATCTGGCGCCCATATGGGATGCCGGCACCGCAAGGCGGAGGATTAACCAAGAGAGCCATGGCACCAGCTTCAATTTGTGAGGTGTTTTTAACTCACCATGAAAAGTCAACAGTTGTGATTCATCCTGGTCTGAAGTTCATTTAAATTTAATAAGTACAATTGGGATGTTTTTTAGTTGCTAATATTTGTGAGAACATAAGAATCCTGTTTGGAGAGGTTATGCTGTATATGAGGAAACCCCCGTTTCAAGTTTTGGTTATTTCTGTTTGACAACCACAAAGAACTGAAGGCTTTTACTAAGACTTCAGTGCCCTTCACTTCGTTCAAGATAAGCTCAGACTATAGGAGTGGAGTTGAACTGTATGCTGCCTTTTTCCTTCAAAGACTGACAGATCTGGTTGACAAGAATGCAATGGTTTGGGGAGGACTGAGGAAGAAATGTGACACTATGACCAGACACTCCATCCCCTGCTGTCTGGCATGTATTTCCTGGCAGAGTGGGTAACTACCAGAACAGTTGGGTAAGCAGGTTATGAAACACTCACTTCAGATCACGATCACGATTGTTCAGACGCTGTTTTGGTTTTCTAAACGCACTCCACAATGAATATTGCTGAAGAATGTATTTGCTTTGTAAAAGAATTTCAACAAAAGTGTCCTTGTATACTCTGGTAGGCTTTATAGCAAAATAAAGTTTGGCTCAAGAATCTGGTGGATATTTCAAATACTGTAGAACAATAGAGCGGAATGGTTTTCAAAGTGATTGTGATTCATGAACATGGTAGATTTACCAAGTAATTCACATATGAGCTTATTTTAATAGAATGGACTTAATCCCTAGCCCAGATTCTTTGTAACTTGTTCCTCATTAGTGAATGCCCAAAGTGAAATCAATTTTTTTTTCAATACTGGTACCAAAGTTTGACTTTATAAAATTGCAGAAAACATGTCATTAGGACAAAAATTGTTCATTTTTTAAAGTATCTTAGTGCCTTTTTTTTTTTTACATTTAATTAGATTTCTTTATTCATGACCATACAGGTCTCTGGCATCAACTAGAATAATCAAACATGTCCTTATTTTAGCATCGCTAAAATTAGAATTAAAACTAGTATCACCTCACCAGCTGACTTTAGTTTAATATAATCAGTTTGAAACTCAAATAGTTAACAGTCGCAGTCAAACACATCAGCCATTGTCCTTAACATTTCATGATTTGCTCGCCGATGCCATTATTGTTTTTGTTTTCTAAGTGAGAGGATTGAGGCTTCCTCTCTGGAATTTAAATTTTTATGCATTTGCTTTTTATAGATTCATTTTATTTGAAAGGCAGAGTGACAGAGAGGAAGAGACAGAGAGGACTTCCATCTGTGGGTCTTTCCCTATTGGGCCAGGCTGAAGCCAGGGGCCAGGAACTGCATCTGGATCTCCCTTGTGGGCAGCTGGAGTCTTAAGTGCTTTTCCAGGTACATTCGCAGGGAGCTGGATGGGGAGTGGAGCAGTGGTGTTCATGTGGAAATGCCAGTGTTGCAGACAGAGGCTTAACCTCCTGTACCACAGTGCTGGCCCCTGGAATTCAATTTTTTTTTTACAATTTAACTTATCTAAAACTGCATAGTTAAGACATGAAAGACCCAGAATTTGAATCTTTGTCTCCTGTAGGCACCCATGTTCTTCACTAGTATGCAATAATTTTACTCACTTTCCCAATTTTTAATTCCAAAACCTTACATGGTACTTTGTTTTTTAGCAGTTGGATACCTGTTCACAGTGAAACAACATTATCGAGTTCACTTAATCGATGACACAGCCTGAATAATATAGGATAGCTATATCACATTAAAATTTTTGTCTGAATAACCATGCATACTTTAGACAGTGATGAGACTGGCAGTGTTCCTCAACTGTCAGTTTCATGAGCTAGTCTCAGTCCTGCGACTAAACTCTAAATGTCTCACCGCATCCGTAGTAACCCCCTTGGAAAAGAGAAGCTGCAGAACTTGCCCCCTCTTGGGAGTGCTGACAGCCCTTCTGACTAACGGCTTCTTCTGTTCATGATTCCTGGCTCATCATTGAACTAATTCATATCTATGGGAACTACTTCCTACTTTAAGGTCCCAGAAACCTGTCTCCCAGGGGATTAGTCAGAGCTCCATGTAGTGAACTTTCAGCCTAATTGAGCAGCCTGGGTTGGACTCTTGAGGCATGATCCAAGTTACTCGTTCCTTATGATTCTGAGTGTAGAACTACCTACCAGCCCTGCAGCATGGTATCTAGAAAGAGCAAATTCATTTCTGCTCCTTGAGTAAGAGATCTGAATTTTGGGAGAGTGTGCTCAATGCACAGTTAGTTGATACCTTCTAATAATCATTACTGAATTTGATACTTCCTGGAGTACATGAATTAGCTGAACTTTTGATATTTCAGAGCACATTTTTCAATGATCCAAACTTTAGAGAGATTATTAAAATTCATGTGTTTAACTTTTCAACTTTTATTTCTTTTTTAAAAGATTTATTTATTTATTTGAAAGGCAGAATTACAGAGATGCAAAGACATATGTATATATATATATACATATATATATATATATAGAAAGAGAGGTCTTCCATTTGCTGGTTCACTCCCCAAATGGCTGTAATGGCTGTAGCTGGGCTGATCGAAAACCAGGAGTCAGGAGCTTCTTCCAGGTCTCCCATGCGGGTGCAGGAGCCAAAAGTCTTGGGCCATATTCTGCTTTCCCAGGCCATAGCAGAGAGCTGGATCAGACGTGGGGTAGCTGAGACAGGTGCCTATATGGGATGCCAGCACTGCAGGAGGTGGCTTTACCTGCTATACCACAGGATGGGCTCCGATTTTTATTTCTTTATTTGAAAAAGAGAGAGTGCTATCTCCCATCCACTGTTTCATTCCTCAAATGCTTGCAATAGCTGGGGCCGGGCCATTTCCAAAGCCAGGAGCTAGGAACTCAATCCAGGTCTCCCACATGAAAGGCAGGGACCCAGGAACTTGAGCCATTGTCTGATGTCTCCCAGGATGTGCAATAACAAGAAGTTAGAATTGGGACTGAAGCTGGGACTTGAACTCAGTTATTGTGGTATAGTATGCAAGTATCACAAGCTGTGTCTTCACAGCTGTACTAAATGCCTGCTCTCATATGTTTATTTCAGTAGGATCAGCACTACCTATTTCTTCCAATTGTTGGACTATTTAATATATTTAATATATATATTATTTTACATTCCTTCTATGATATATGAGTAGTTTTTTCTTAAGCAATTTGTCAGAAATACTTGTCTATTGAGTCAAGAGATGCTCCTGTCATTGGAGAGAGGGACAGAAGGATGGAAAAGTTTTTAAGAATAATGTAGCTTCTGCTTTATAAAGTCTATTTGTTTTGTTTTCATCTCCCTCAAAAGAAAAAAAAGAAAACAGGAATCCATAAGTGATAGCCTTTTGCTTTAATCATCCCATTGTTGGTTTATAGAAAGTAAAATTAATTCAAAAACTAAAGTGATTCAAGTTGAGTGTCTTGTCACAAATTCTCATTCCTCTGTGTTGGGGGTGTGTTTGGAAGTTTATTTTGTAAATGATTTTTATAGCTCTTGCATAATCAGGATTCTGTAGCTGAAATAAATAGACATTAAAATAAAAAGCTTTAGCCTTGCAGCCACTAGAACACCTCTTGGGTGCATGCCAACCATCCTTAGGGTTCTCGCATACTGTCATCTCACCCTTCTGTCAGTCTTTATAATCAAAGTTCATAAATGTATATGAAGGAAGGCCCTACTATGCACAGGCCATGCTGTATGATATTCAGTAAGTGTTTGTAGAATAGCAAATAACTGCGGAGCAATAACATAACCTAACGTGAAGCAAGCGTACGTGACAGTAAGTTTGAGGGTGGAAAATGGAAACCACGGAGCATTTCAGCTGATCTCAGTCAAATCAGAACACATCAGAACAGCTGGTGTTCTGTGACTCAGAATCAATCAACCGGGTTTGAATCACCTCATAGTTCTTTATTTCTCTTTACAGTTTCACTGAAGAGATTTAAGCCAGCATATGTCCTTCCCATTTGGTTAAATCCCTGCTATGAGCTGCTTTGCTATCCCAATCTAATACCAATGAATGAAACGGACTGGATTATAAAAGAAAAAGTATAAAGACTAAAATTAAAGTGATTTCTGAAATGATGCTGCCACATATTGTAAAATGAACCATATGCTCAGATAAAATGCCCTTGAAAAAGCATGGAATTTTAAGGTTGTGTTATGGAATGAGAATAATGCTACATCAGCAGTGTTTGTATAAATAACAAATACGGCAACATTTATTATAATTTTCAAGTGTACAGTTAGTACTTCAGTGATGATACCAATAGTGGTACCTTGGGACTTCAGTAATAAATTGGGAGCTGAAAGCTAAGCATTATTTTGTGTTCTTGGATTTTGACGCTGTCTCATCTCTTTGTTCTGATAGGCACCTATTACACCATTCTTTGGCGAAGGCTGTTTAGCAGTGGTGACCTCTTCCACTCCAACACTCTACAAGTTATCATCTCTGGACTCCCAGCTGACACCCTGCCGGAGGCAAGAGCTACTAAGCCAACTGGAACTGTGCCTTTTCTCTTGTCAAGGTTTTTTTCTTACACAGGAAGAAGAAAGAAAAAAAAAAAAGATGAAGTTGGGCAAAGTGGAGTTCTGCCATTTTCTGCAGCTAATAGCGCTTTTCCTGTGTTTTTCTGGGATGAATCAAGCAGAACTCTCAAGGTCTGGATCAAAGCCCTATTTCCAATCAGGGAGGTCCCGTACCAAGCGCAGCTGGGTGTGGAATCAGTTCTTTGTGTTGGAGGAATACATGGGCTCAGACCCCCTCTATGTAGGAAAGGTAGGGTATTCAGCCTTTTGAAGTTGTAAATGATTTTTTGTCAATGTCTGTGTTTGGTTGGAGAGCTGCTAATTTTTTTGCTTTAGGGATGGAAAAATCAAAACCTGACTCCCATGAAAGACTTTATGAAGTCTGGGGGGGAGTTGTTTATAAAACAGTGAAACTGCAACTTGGGGAGAGGTGATTTATTCCCGAAAACAGATGAGGATTCTACAGAGGCCTCGTTGATCATTATTGTAGTTCACCGGTAAAGCTCTTAGTACCAATATCAGAACAAGAATATCCACTAAGAGATGAAAAGTAGTGGGCTAGTGCAGAGGTTGTTTGTTAGCTTCTGCTTTTGAGGTACAATGTAAATGGTGTTCAGGCTAACATTTATGCTAGCATAGCTTTCCCCGATAATTGCTATTCGAAAACTGCAAAGTGAAAGTATTGAGACTAGTGCCTCTAAATTATGAACAATTCAAACTTTTCTTATGGGTCTTCTTTGGTCATTTCTGTTTATTTTGTTTTCTTTCCTTTTAAAATTTTCTTTCAATTAAAAATGAATGTGAGCAGAATTAAGTGGTTAAAAGTGACATTAGACAAATGGCACTTCATGTTGTTGGGTGGCCGATTAGTAGCTATGCTGAGCTTTTTTTAAACTTCTTTCTGTCTGATTATTTGGGAAGGATATTGCCATTCAAGAGCTGCGTGAACTGAAAGACTCGTCAGGAGAACTCCATCTTTCCCACTATCCTCATTTCATATGTACAGTCTATAGTCTACTGTGGGTTCAGTTATTTTCATATTTGTAAAGATTGCCTGAATTTCTCAGTGTTGTGTGGAGCACCAGTGAAGGTTTTCTAAGTAAGGGATATTAGCAAGAAATCAATACCTTTGTGAATCTCTTCTTCACTGTCGATTTGATGCTTCTATTCCTGGTAAAATGAAGACCAGCTAACTGATGAATTTATTTGTCAATCATTTTTTCACTGTTGAAAGTCCAGCGAAGTATCTTTGTTTCTTATTTCGTGGGTCATTTTTATTTTTTCATGTAAACACATCCTAATTAAGGGTGACAAAATATCTTTGTCGGTGGGAGTATTTACATAAATTAAGGTAGTGCTTATTGTATTATTTATCATAGTTTCCTCTTAATATCTCTAGTTTAAATAATAACTAACACTGTAGAGTAAATGAAAGTATTAAAATAAATCAGAAGTTTCTACGGATATTAACTAGGATTACTTTCATAGCATTTTCCTACCCTAAGAAAACATGTGGATACACAAGTGTCTCTGTGTACATCTATTTTTAAAGCCATTCTTCCTTGTCAATGGGACCTTCACATACACCTGCCTATGTGCAAAATTTGTCTCACTCTCTCTGATTTGTTTTCTTGTGAAAATAAGAGAGCACTAGCCATAATTCAGTATTATTCACTAAGAATCTAGCTCTTAATTGCATTCATTTTAATGGGCATTCAGGAGGTTCATCAGGCTTTCTTTAATGGACAGATCTACAATATTCAATTAATTTATAATCAATAGCTTTTTGTGATAGTGTAACATCTTCCTAAAAGAGGAAAATATTTCAAATTAGCTTGGTTTTCTGGGGTAAGGTTGACAATTAAAAAGTCAATATGACTTTTAAAAGTTAAATGCTTCTTTTTTATAATCTTCACATGGTAATTCAAAATGCTCATGCCTAAATTATCTCTCCAATTTATTATTATGAGAATGTATTCATCTAGGTTACTTATTTTTGAAATGAGTATGAAGTTACAGGGCAATGGTTGGTATTATTTTTCTAAGAAAAATTGTGTGGTCCCCTGATTAGGTAACAAAAAATATTGTGTTTTTCATTTTTAATCAATTACTGAAGATCACTTAACAGATTACAGATGACAGGGATGTTAAATGGGTATTGATCTGTTGCATGCTATATATTGGGAGTTCCACAGAGCTGTTCATAGTTAAATGCTCACATTCGAACTAGGTTTTAGAAAACTCTTAATTGACTGAAATACAGAAAAAAAGAAAAGAAAAATCATTTGTGATACAGAGACTTATGAGCAAGAGACAAAAAGGTACAACTTTAGAGGAATGATTTGTGTTTCTTAGGCAAAATGTAACAGGTACCTTGGGTTCTTAGATTTTCCATATGAGATGATGAAATGATTGTTTTTTTTTTTTTACATTGGTATTGGAATAAACAAGGTTTAAGAGTAATTTTGACCTCAGTTATATTTTAATCACTTGAGCATGTAAAAGTAGATGTATTTTCAGTTTTTGTTTTGTTTTGTGTATTTTTTAGTTGAGGGGAATGATGGCTATATCCAGAAGTGTTTATAAGACTGAGAGATCAAAAAATTGTGATGAAATGTGGGGGAAGAATGGCTAGACAGATAATCATATGAAGAAAAGAAATAGTTTGATCAGTAATTTTCACATCTAACCTAATCTAACTAACCTGTTAGTTAGATGGCCACACCCTTAGTCATCTTAAAAAAATCTAACTTTGAGGTAGTTTGGAAGACATAAATTCAGTAGCTTAATTTGATCAAATAATGGGTAAGTATAGCATGTGTCAGGTTGGCATTAGGGCTATTGTTGGCTCTATCACTTCTTACTTATTGTATAACTTGGAATAGTTTCAAAGTTGCCCAATTTATTAAACTTTAATTTTCTCATCTCTAAAATAATACATCATATGAATAAAATGAATATATGAATAATGATATCTAATTCATGTCAATAAATAAGTGAGTTAAAATATTTGGAACACACATTTAATGGATATAGCTATTATTTATAACATGGCAATTATAAAATCACAGAGTAATGGGTTATTTGAAACTGTTGCATATATGATCCCTCAGGTGAAAACAAACATTATTTATTTAATAGTGTTCACATTGTTTCCAGTTAATTAGAGGGAAGATTCTGTTTCTATATGCTTAGGAATGTAGCATGTAGCAGAAATATGGTTAGTTGGTAAACAAAATTGATCCTGGAAAATTCAGATATCAGAGAAATCATGTCTGAGTTTTGTCAGACCTTCAGATTTGGGGACCACATTAGTAACTTGATGCCAACCCAGCCAATTAAATGACTATGGGCTAAGCAAAATATATTCATTAAGACATTGAAGATAATGAGGCCACAATGCGGCTTTAGGTCATGTTGTTTTAGATACATGACTGGTTTTGTTTGATGTGCAATCCAAGACCAAAGTAGAACAGTCTGTCCAATGGGGCCATAGATGCTTCTATAGCCCTTACTGCGAAATTGCCAGGGAACAAGTTTTGGGGCTGTGTAAGGTTCTGAGTGCCAGTATCACTTACGTCCCATATTGTTTTCTTGAATTATAATTTGATATGCTGCAGAACCCAAATGTAGACTTAAGGAAGGAACCCTAAGATATTTCTCTGCTTGGGGTCTAATTTAGAGAAATGGTGCACCTTCCCCCTAGTGCATTTCATAATGACCGCCGTGCCTACGTTCTTGTGCTGGTGTGAGGAGAATTAATTGGAGAGGCCTTTCCTCCTTGTGACTTTGGATCACCCCTGACTCGGTGATGTGCGGTGCAGAGGAGCTCATGTTTCCCGTCCATCTTGTTGCATCAGCCAGCACTTTTCCAGCCCTGATTTTTCCTCACCTTGGCATTTCTCACTTAACATCCCCTAACTATCTGACAAAAAATCTGTCTACCAAACCACCTAGACTCTGTTCCAGGTATTAAGTGTTTTTCATCTTTCCTGACTGTAATGGGCTGCCAGCCGGTGGCTGTGCTCGAGGCCATCACTTTCACTGAAATGTGTGCTCCGTGCCTCTTGCACAGTCTGCTTCCCGACCTGCTGCCATCACTCTTACCTTTTTGCTACTCCTCTTTCTTCCTTACTCATTCAGGGAGAATTTATACCTATTACCTCTGTAGCAATCAAATACATAGAAACAGGATGTGCAGGATTCACTTCGTTTCAAATTTAAGCTTGCTTGAGCATGTTGGTGAGCATTTTCAATGCGTTTAATTACACCTCAGCAGTTTCTGTCACCAAGAAATTCTCAGTCTCCTGTTAGCTAAAGCTACATTCAGTGTTACAGAAAAGAAGTCTTCTTGAAAATGTCATGTTAAAAATTGATTTATAGATTAGTTATCTTGGAAATTTTATATTAGATAGAAGGAAAGCAGCGAATCCCAAGTATGAATTACTTTGGGAGGAAAATATTCATCAAACTAAGATGTGTATTTTATAGATGTTGGTGGGAAAATACAGGAAAATTATCCTCAAAATATGTAGATTATCTAAAGTAAGATAAAAATCTTAGGAAAAAGCCTTTTTTTTTAAAAAAAAATGTAGAGAAAAAATTTTTCACAATGTCTTGATAACTAGAATTAATTTGTGGAACCCCTTGTTCTCCTCTGTTGTTAGGTTGCTAGTAGAAGTAGGAACTCCTGGTGGTTCCAAAAGCAACTTGGAGATGGATCAGCTCTTTGGGATGCAAATATGTTCTGATTTTTAGAATTATTTTGAATAGTTACTTTTAGATCTTATAATAGTCCAGTGAAACTATAAGTTATTTGCTACACTTTCCCACATAAAATGAATTCAAATTTTCCTTTTTGACATTTTGAAAATAAAATGTCAGATTGTACTACACATTTCAGGAGCTTCCCATGAATTCAGTTTGCTGTTGCTAACTTTCATCAAATTTATGTTCAGCAAGAGGTGAAGGTTGTAACTACTAAAGTCTTTAGCAGGTGGAACTAGATAGCTAAAGTTGAGGGGAGTGGGGGAATTTTATGTATATATCTAAGTATATCCAAGCAAGATCGTCTAGATTGAACTCTAAATTCCATGATTGTCAATCTAGGTTGATCAAAATCATTTAGATAGGGGTTGGTGCCATGGCTCACTTGGTTAATCCTCCGCCTGTGGTGCCGGCATTCCATATGGGCGCCAGGTTCTAGTCCCGGTTGCTCCTCTTCCAGTCCAGCTCTCTGCTGTAGCCTGG